GGACACTGCCCCATGGGGATGGGAACGGGAATGGGGCTGGTTCTGGACACTGCCCCTGCCATGGCTGTGCCCCACACAGGCTGGGTGAACCCATGGAACCACGGGTTGATGTTTTGGGGTCTCCATGCTCAGCGTTTTGTCCACACTCACTTTAGGGCAGCGGGGTCACAGCTGGGGTGACCTCCCAGCACAGGAGGTCGGCCAGGCCAAGCCTTACCCAGCACCAAAACCCCAGCCAGGAGACGGTGGAAAAGCCCATGGAAGGCAGAGCTCGGCTTTTCACCCTCGCTGGGATGGGGCTGGGGAGCGGCTGCCCATGTCTGACGTGGGCATTTCCTCTGGGCAGGGTGACACCGGTGACACTGGAGCCCCAGGCGAGCCAGGACAGCGGGGACGGAAGGTGAGGGGTGCCCCTAACCCTGTCCCTTCTTCCAGCACCTCGGGGACACCCCCAGCCTGCTCAGCCTCTGCTGCTCCATGTGGGGACAGAGCAGGGCAGGAGTGTCCCCATGGCACCCCCTGAGCACCCCAGGGTGAGCAGAGGGTGACACTGCTCACCTCGGTGCTGAAGGTCGTTTGTTGCTGCTCCTTCTCCTCCTTTGTGGTGACAATTGTCTCTGTCCCTGAGCAGGGCAATGCTGGCCCCAGGGGCCTTCCTGGGGCACCCGGGCCGGGAGCTGCCACAGGGGAAATCGGAGGGAAAGGCCAGAAGGGAGAGAAGGGCCGAGAAGGTTTGATGGCAAGTACAGAGGGGCTGGGCTGACTCACCCTACAGGTGCTCAATGTCCCCAGAGGTTGGGTGCTGGGTGCCAAGGACAGGGCTCACCCCCAGTGGGAAACCCTGGGCTCCAGGAGCTGCAGGAAATTCCAAAAACTGCCCAATTTCCATAATTAGGGAGGTTTTTGTTTCATAGGCATGACAACAAAGTGGGGTCTTGTTGGTATAAAAGGTTTGGGTTTGGGGGGCACTTTGGGGTAGCGCTGCTTCTGGCCAAATTCCAGCCCCTGCCGGGCTGGGAACACGTCCTGTCTGTGTCCCAGGGCCAGGGTGGTGTCACCGGAGCTGCAGGACCTGCTGGAGCCAGAGGATGGTTTGTAAGTCAGATCGTGTCCCCTCTCCCCTTTCAACCAGGCATGGACCTGATGGGGGGACATTTGTGTCACTGGGAACACTGGGAAGGACCCTCTTAGTGTCCAGACCCGGCAGGGGACATTTGTGTCACTGGGAGCACTGGGCAGGGCAGGGTCACCYSTTGGTCTCCTGTGCTTTCAGGGTGGGACAGGACTCCGAGGTGCTCCTGGGCTCGAGGGTCCYGAGGGACAGAAGGTAGGGTGACATTATGGATTTAAYCCTTCACCTCAGGGTGCAGCACCCTTTTCTGGCCTCTTCCGAAACCTTCCTGGGGGGTATGAGGTGAGGTTGGCTGCAGGGAGGTCACAGAGAGGTTGGGGACAGTGGGGACCTGCCATGGGACACCCCTTGCTGTGTTGCCTGAGATCCAAATCATCAAGGCAGAGAAGGATTTTCCCAGGTTTTTCTGGCTTTTCCCAGGTTTTTTCCAGGTTTCCCCACGTTTTCCCAGGTTTTTTCCCAGCTTTTCCCAGCTTTTCATGGGTTTTCCCAGGTTTTGCCATTTTTTTCCAAGTTTTGCCAGTTTTCCCAGGTTTTTCTGTGTTTTCCCAGGTTTTCCCAGGTTTTCCTGGATTTTTCCAGGTTTTCCCAAGTTTCCAAGTTTCCCCAGGTTTCCCCAGGTTTTCCCAGGTTTCCCCAGGTATCCCCAGGTTTTCCCGAGGTTTTTCCCAGGTTTTCCCAATTTTCCTGGGTTTTCCCAGTTTTTTCCAGATTTCCCCAGGTTTTTCCCAGTTTTTCATGGTTTTCCAGGTTTCCCCAGGTTTCCCCAGGTTTTCCTGGGTTTTTCCAGGAGCTCTTCCTTCTTTCCCCCAGGGAGATCCAGGGCCACGAGGCGTGGAYGGACCTGCTGGGGCTGCAGGATTCGAGGTGCTGATGGCTGGGAATTGCCAAAGGCTTCCCCAGTGTTCCCCATTTCCAGTAAAACCCAAGGGATTTTTATTTTTATTATTATTATTATTAAATTATTATTATTGTTATTATTTATTATTGGCCCTTCACTGGCCAGGTCAGAGGGCTCAGAAGTGAGGAGGGKTTTTTAACACCTCATATCTCCTGAGACCCTAAAACCCCAAACTCCCAGTACCCAAACCCCAAACTCCCCATACTCAAATCCCCAAATATCAGCCCCTTTCCAGCACCCATGGGTGCCTCACAGAAAACCTGTTCCTGGAATTGCATCCTGTCCCCTCCCACGTGGGAAGGAGGATGGGATGAGGGACAGGATGCTCCAAGTCCCCCCGGACGTGCAGGAAGGATGGTGAGGGACTTTTCCTAAACCACAATGTCCCCACAGGGACTGGCTGGAGATGATGGAGCCAAGGGAGATAGTGGCAAGCCTGGCCCGGTGGTGAGTACCAAAAACTCAACTGGGATAGATGTTTGAGGGCATTTTGGGATGGAGCAGCAGAGTTTGGGGCTGTGGGATAAACTCCAGGGGGATTTGGTGTGGAAAAAAATCCAGGGGAATTTGGTGTGGAAAAAAATCTAGGGGGATTTTGTATGGGATAAACTCCAGTGGGATTTGGTGTGGCATAAACTCCAGGGGGATTTGGTGTGGGATGAACTCCAGGGGGATTTGGTGTGGGATGAACTCCAGGGGGATTTGGTGTGGGATGAACTCCAGGGGGATGTGCAGTGGAATAAACTCCAGGGGGATTTGCAAAACTCAGAGCAGTTGAAGCCCCTCAAGGGGTGGCTGCTCGTACCCTGCTGAGGATGGTGTTGCCCAGTGTCCCATCATTGTGCCCAGTGTCTCCATCCCTCTTCCCACTGTCCCCATCCCTGTGTCCAGTGTCCCCATCTCTGTGCCCAGTGTCCCCATTCCTGTTTCCAGCATTCCATCCCTGTCCCCAGTGTCCCATCTCTGTCCCCAGTGTCCCATTCCTGTGCCTAGTGTCCCCATCATTATGCCCAGTGTCCCCATCTCTGTGCCCAGTGTCCCCATCCCTGTTTCCAGTATCCCATCCCTGTGCCCACTGTCCCCATCCCTGTCCCCAGTGTCCCATCCCTGTCCCCAGTGTCCCCATCTTTGCCCCACAGGGCTCTCAGGGCACTCGGGGCCTGGCAGGTGTCCCGGGGCTCCGGGGATACACCGGGCATGAGGGAGCCAGAGGAGTGACGGGCACCAAGGGCCAGCCAGGCCGGCAGGTAATGGCCAGGGCATGGGCAGGGGACAGGCAGGGGACAGCCCTGGCACAGCTCACCCCCAGCTGTGCCCTCCTGCCTTGCCCTGGTGCCAGCCTCCGGTTTTGTCCCCAAATGACCTCAGGGGACTCTCGGGCCACCGGGCGAAGCTGGAGCCACCGGGCTGGGTGGCACCGAGGTGAGCGGGTTCCTCTCTGCCCCATTCCCACCCCACAGGCTGTGCCCTCTGACAGCCTGCCTGGGATTTGGGTGAAAACCCCACATTTTCTGGATTTGGCTTGAATTTTGATTTCCTCCTTAGGGCCTGGTGGGTGCAAAAGGGGAACCAGGCAAGCCGGGAAAACCAGGACAAACGGTGAGGAGTGGGATGGAYTGGGTGGGTCTCCCTGAAAGACTCTGAGGGATCTCCTGGATGGGTAAAATCTCACATGGGCACCACCTCCTGCTCCTTTAACACCTCATATCTCCTGGGACCCTAAAACCCCAAACTCCCATGACCCTAAAACCCCAACTCCCAGACCCTTAAACCCCAAACTCCCTGTACCCAAGGGGATTTGGTGTGGGTTAAACTGCTGAACCCTGCCCAGCCTGCTCCAGAGAGGGGCAAAATCCCAAAGGGGAGATTTCAGCTTGGAGCATCCTCCCATGCATGGGGCGAGGCAGGAGAGGTGTCCCTGGCACAGTATCCTCACAGAGGGATTTCCTCCTCCTCTGGAATTTTAGGGGTCTCCTGGACAGGCTGGTCCTAAAGGATGGAAAGGTCACAAAGGAGAGAAGGTACCCCCAAAATCCTCCTCTGGGGATGGCACCTGAGGGGCACTGCCCAGTGGGTAAATCTGAGCTGGTCAATCCCATTTGGATCCATGGAGAGAAAACTGGGAATTACCCTGGGGTCCTGTTTGTCCCTGCCTGGCAAACACAGGGTGTCCTCAGGCTGCCTTGGCTGATTTTGGGATGAGGGGCTGGCACATGTTCCCAGGGCTGCAGATGGATGACGTCCCTGGAGGACTGGGGACAGCTGGCACATGTCCCCAGGGCTGCCCCGAGCTCCCTGGCAGGGCACAGGTGCCTCCCCAGCCCTCGGGGCCAGGGTCCCCCAGTCCTGGTGGGCTCTGTCCCCATCACCACGCTGGCAGCAGCTCCTCCTGCCCAGCCCCACATCCCCCATCTCTCCCTCCCGCAGGGGGACACGGGGCAGGACGGGGCACAGGGGCTCCCTGGAGAAGCTGGCAGGAGGGTGAGTGACCCTGCTGTCCCCTGAGGGTGGCAGGGAGTGCAGAGCTGCTCTGCAGGGGGTTCTGAGCTTTCGGGAAACCCCTGGAGGGGCCACCCTAGGGAGATGAGGGGTGCCTGGATGGGTTTGGGGTGCCCTGTGAGCCTTTCATCTGTGGTCCCCAGGGCAAGCGAGGCAAGAYGGGCCAGCAGCCCCCACGGGGACCCCGGGGACACAAGGTAGGTGGCTTTGTGGGGCCCCCTGGCACTTTGGGGGTGTTCCCACCTGCCTGAACCCCCAATTTAGGAAAGAACAAACCAAGATCCCATCCTGCTCTGTCCCCCAGACCCTCCCAGCCTGACAGGGGGGGTTCCCACTCCCCCAGCCCCCATGGGCTGCTCTCCCTGCCCAGGAGCATCACACCAGCCAGGCCTGGTCCTTTTTGCATTTCAGGGCTACCCGGGTGCCAAAGGACTTCCAGGACCCCAGGGCCCCCAGGGACCCTATGTGAGTATCACTTTGGGGGGTTTGGGGTGCTGGCTGCTCCCTGTTTGACCCCAATATGTGACCCAGAAAAGCAGGGACCCATTAAAAATGAGGGCAGTTTTTAAGTGGTTCTTCCATCTCCTTTTTTCTTCTCCCCCAAATTTGCCTCCCAGGAAGATGTGTACAGTCAGGCACAGCCCATCATTCCCAAAATGTGCCTCTGGAGGCAAAATCTTGCTTTTCCAGGGATGTGTCTGATGCCAGGCAGTGTTGAGCACTGGTACAGGACTGTGCCCACCTTCCCAGAGAGCTGCCAAGGCTGGAGGCACCAACTGCCAAAAACCCTCAAATGTTTCTTTAAATTACTAGAAAATGGCTTTTTTCTCTACTTAAAATAAAAAGAAAAAAACCAACCAACCAAACAAACAAAAAAAAAAACAACTTTGGTGACTTCACAAAAATAAAAAGCTGGGGTRATCTCAGCCAGCCAAGGTACCTCAAGTGCATTTTAATGGAGTGTTTTAAGGGATCCTCCCCCCATAAGCAGAAATCAAAGGAATGAGATGAGAAAGTGTCTCCAAGTTTCCAAAAGTGCCTGAAATCCTCAAAACCCTCGGCTATGGAAGGGTCCCTCCTTGCCAGGGAGTGACGGGAGCAGCTCAGCCACAATTCCATGTTCCTCTCTTAGGGCATTCCAGGTCTGAAGGGCATCAAAGGGGACCCTGGGCCAAAAGGACACAAGGTAGGGGTCATGTGCCAGGCACTGCAGGGACCCTGGGCACAGGGTGGCGTTTCATTTGCTGGGTTCCATCATTTATTCTCTTCGTTTTGAACTCTGATGGCTCCACCATCCTTCTCTGGGGGTTCTCCRCCATGTCCCCAGGGGCTGGGAGATGGAACATTTTGATTTTCTCCCAAATKCAGTTCTTTTCCAGCCCCCCCACCCTCCTGGAGCTGCAAGCAGCAGCAGGGAGCTTTTGAATCCCTGCTCCCAGCACTAAGGCTGATGGGCCATGAGTTGTGGGACCCTTGTGCTCTTCCTCATGGATCCGGCCTTGGTGGGAGAAGCTGAGCCAAGGCTTCTTCATATCCCATCCCTTATCCCATCCCTTATCCCATCCATTGTCCCATCCATTGTCCCATCCCATATCCCATCCCATATCCCATCCATTGTCCCATCCCATATCTCATCCTTTATCCCATCCCATATCCCATCCATTGTCCCATCACATATCCCATATCCCATCCCATGTCCCATCCCATATCCCATCCCTTATCTCACCCCACCTCCCACCCCACATCCCATCCCATATCCCATCCCTTATCCCACCCCATCTCCCACTCCATATCCCATCCCATCCCAGCTCCCATCCCATCTTCCACGCCATCCCTTATCCCACCCCCATAAATAACACACCCAGTCCAGAGATGGGGAACTGCTCAGAGCCTTCAGGAAAATGACCCCTGGGAATCCATAAACTTTAAATTTCTTGTGTGCTCCAGCTGGGAGGAGGTGAGGGCAGTCTGTGCTAAAATTTTTCCTTGGCTCCACCATTTTTCAGTGCCAGGAATCTCCTTTATCCTCTCCAAGTGTTTCCTGGTCACTTCCAAGGTTTTCCCACAAGGTTTTTCAGTCTGGGATGAAACCCTTTCAGTTTGGAGCTGATCACCCCTCCCTCTGCCTCTGTCCCTGGCAATGTCTATGGAATCAAAAGGATGGCTGGTTTGGGGTTTTTCCTCCTGAAATTATTGGGAAATGGGGATTTCCCATTTCCAGCCTCTTGCTGGAGGCCAGCAGATGTTKGGCCTTTGGGAATATCCCCAGGCAGGTGCGTCCTGGGCAGAAAACCTGATAGACATCATGGATRGGTGACCAGAGTCCCCACCCACACCGGTGTCCTGGGGGTTCTGCCCTCCCCTTTGCCACCAAAGCTCCCCCTGACTCTCTCCTAGGGCGAGAAGGGCAGCAAGGGAGACCTGGGCCAGCAAGGGGATGATGGCTTCAAGGTGGGTGACAGCTTCTGCTCTTTTCCTTCCTCCCCCTGGTCCTTGTGCCCCTGAGTGACACCCTGYCACACTTCCCAGGGCAAGCCAGGACCCCATGGTGTCCCTGGGAGGCTGGGACCCAAGGGAAAGCAGGTAAGGGCAGGGTGGAGAGGGATATCAGGGACTAAAATCRGCATTTGGGGTGAATTCCTTATTTTTCCCAATAAAATCCACCTGGGGTTGGAGAAGGAAGTGGGACTGGAGGATGTCCTGTGCAATGCCCTGACCTGCTCTGGTGTCCCTGCAGGGTGACACCGGCCCCCCTGGCCCACGGGGACACCCTGGGATCCCTGGGACACCAGTGAGTTCTGCCCMACCCTGCAGCTTTGGGGTTTGCTCCTGGCCCCACAGCAATGGGGCTTTGACCCCACACCCTTCCCTCACATCATCCTGCTCTTATYCTTCCCTTCCAGGGCCTGTCCGGACCGAAAGTGAGTAGAAAGGAGCACCTGGGCTGGGACCAGCCCTGCCATGGGACCCTCCCCTCCTTCCCCCTCCCTGGGGTGCAGGGGAGCCCTTGGGTGCCGCTCAGTGCAGCAGCATCTCCCACTCCCCTTCCCTTCCCTTCCCTTCCCTTCCC